TTGATACTTCGCTACGTTAATATGCAAAAATTATTTATTTTAACTTTTAATATTATAATAATAATAAGCAACAATATAAATAATAAATATAAAGGAGCTTAAAACTATTGATAGGTATCGACTAATTCAATTGTTCCAATAAATTAGTAAATATACAAGTAAAAATTACTTAACCTTTCAAATCTGTTTAATTAATAACTGTCATTAATATTTTTATCTCGTCTTGCTTAATTTCTTTTATTTGTACGTTTATTCACAATGCCGAAAGGTTTGAGTATGGTAGCTGCAGACAAACTATGGAAGGCATATGTTGAGTCTGAAGACAATTCTAAAGACCTATGGTATAATAAATGGAGTTGGATCTTAGACCAATATGAGTAAAATCAAAATATATTGATTATGATTAGTGTTAATTTTCCAATTTTTTTTTATTCTGTAGAAAACTACACCAACAATTAACTGAAGTTTCAGCGAAGGCGGATAATATTCCAAAAAAAGCCCCTGATCAAAGATCCCTTAAGCCGTTTCCCAATTCTGTTAATCACGAATATGGTTGGATTAGTGCTAAGCCAGATTTTCGACTTGAAAAGTACGGTCCTGATATTATGCAAGCTATGCCTTTACCTAAAAGTGATTGAACATAAATACTTATTTTTATTAACATCATACAAATTCTCCCTGACGCATATGTAGTATTTAGTTTAGACTTTTATATATCACTTGTTATTTTTTTATGTTTCGTATAATAAGTTAACTTTTTAGTAGTTATGAGGACCAATCTTAAACTGAAAATTCTGAAAAAGAGGGAAGGTAGGAGACGTCTTGACTTAGAAAAGCTAAAATGTAAGGAAATGCGTGATAGGTTAGGTACCTACAAAGAATGACGGAATACTAAAGTTCTATTATTCCCAACTTTATCAAAATACCAATTTAGATTTTTTATTTTAACACATACTCAAAATCAATACTTATCGCATACTTTTCTACACTCTTTTTTGTATTTCTTCTTGTAGATATTCAAATTAAACTTATTGTCAAGTTGAAAACTGAGAGGTGCATTTTTAATCTATTTGTTTTTTGGTAAAACTCTATTAGGCTAAATATCATCCTATTTTTTTTATTTTAACTCAAACGTCAAATCAGCTTTTTATCTCCTATTACACATCTGTTTAACGTTTCAGATAGATTTTATGGATTGTTTTTTATGTAACTGTTCACTTAGGTTTTCATAATAAATTAATGACTTTTTCGCCTTTTGTTTGTTCCTTTTTTTTAATTTTGTCATATGTAATATCGCATTTTTTTTATTTTAACTCAAATTGGAATGTTTTGTCTCCACGAAATTCTACACAATATTTTACACTATATTCCCTTCGTCAATGATTTAAAATTACTTTATCGTGATTTATTATAAACGAACTCAGAATCTATCATAAAATTGTATGAAGGACGGTCAATCAAACATTGGTCACCCTCGATAGTTGCTAGGGTGTATTTCCTTAGGTCTGGTCCTCCTGCAAAATTACTGAAAAGATTTTTTTCTCACTTTTAGTATTTGTATTTCTTCATTCAATAATAGAAAGTCTTTTTTTCTGCAAGTTTTTAATTTTATCCATCGAATTACAAATAAATAACAAATGTACACAATACAAAGAATGCGTGATATTGGCGGCCGTGAAAGCCTAGATATCTATTTTTGTCCACAGTACTAAATTCCAAATTTAATTCTGATAGCAACTTAACCTCTCTAAAGTATTTTTTATTAGTCTGTCATTGAATTTTTTCTTTTGATAATTTTACTTTATTTTTATTTTTGTATTAAAAATGCCGAAAGGTCTGAGTATGGTAGCTGCCGACCAACTCTGGAAGGCTTATGTTGTGTCTGAGGACAATTCGAAAGACGCATGGACCAATAAATGGAATTGGATTTTAGAAGAATATGAGTAAGATCTATTCCTTCTTAAATCCTATAAATGCCATTGATTTTTTCAAAAATTGTTAATTAGAAAATTACACCAAAAGCTAGATGAAATTTCAAAGACGGCTGATTACCCGAAACCGCCCCCGGATGTACGATCCCTTAAACCATTTCCTAATTCTGTTAACCACGAATATGGCTGGGTCTGTGCCAATCCCGAATTTAGACTTGAAAAGTACGGCCCTGATATCATGAAGCCAATGCCATTACCTAAAGATAACTAACAATAAGCACAAAAACTCATCTATTCGTTAAAACATACGTATCTACATGTAACTAAAATTTAATATATTTTTAAACTTACTAAGTATGAATTAATTAGGATAAAAATTATTTAAATAGATACAACTATTATATAAAATACTATTAAACAGTAAACAATTCTTTCATAAAAATAAA